CCCCAACACACACACACACACACACACACACACACACACACACACACACACACACACGGTTCCCTTGTCGACTGATGATACGTCTTCCTACAGGAAGCTTTACACCGGTTAACAAACAAGAATGGTCGGGGCGCTGTCCTCGGTGCTGATCTCGAACTCTCCCCATCTCAGAAATGTCTCTCCCTCCCATTTGATGTCCCAGTTATGACTCTAGGCAATTAACTGCTTTGATTTTTTTTCTTCTGAAACACCAATATATCAGTCTTGTCTACCTGCAATCAAAGGTCACTTCGTGGGCAACATCAATTTTCATTTTCATGGATGGCTTAGCATTTAACAAGAACCACTTAATGTGCTCAGCAGCTGTGAGGCCCCACTTGAAAATACCCATTTTCTTAACGTTTTCCCAATCTAAGTGCATGTGTTAAATGACAGAGATGGGTTCTATCTTTGTTATAGGCCAGTTACTTTTTTCATCTTTGCCTGTCCTCTAAGCTCCTGTGTTTGGCTCTTTCCTCCTTTTTTCTCCAAACAAAGGCCACTGCATCTTCAGTTTTACTATATAGAACATTCTGGGCTTATGACCACAAGGGCACAGAGGCAGGAGGAAAGTGTAGAAAACAATCTAAATAGTGTGGTTCAGGTTCAAGATACAATAAAAGTTCCATTGGGTAGAATGCTAATAATCCAGAAACTTGCAATAATTCATTCTAGCCAAATCTAAGTTTACATTTGATGAAATTAATAGGGTTTGGGGAACATTCATAAAATATATACAAGAAAGTAATGAAACCTCAAAATTACGATTGAGGTATGCAGGTATTTGCTCTTCATTATAAGTGACTTTCTTTGATAAAGGACGAAAGCTTGCTTGGACCATTTGTTTTGGTAGTTTGGAATTACAGTACCATTCAAATAAAGACTTCTTCAAAATCTGTAACTTGAACTTTTCACTATGTGGCCTTGCCCCCTGTAATTCCTGAATTTATCACATTTAGTTTATTGAGACTTCGTGTTTTCTTCTAGAAGCCTTACAGGGTGACTAGGTGGTCTTCTGAAGGGCTAGCCCCGTATTTCTATAAAAAACATAACTTAACCACAACTGCCTTGTGAATTGGGCTTTGCTATGTCCTCTGTTTTACTTATTATAGCACCTACATTCTAAGAGGTAGTGACAATATTGTCTGGCTTGTTTTGTTTGCGTCAAAAAGGCTTTTCATGTTAGACAATAGTAGGGTCATTCAGACATAGTCTACAGGAAACAGAAACTGCAGCATGTCTGCAGCTCTGCAGGGCTGCCCCCATCAACTTAGCCTTCAGTGCCTCGGTGGACCTGCTGGTGCAGTGGAAGAGATCAGGCTACAGAGACCTATTTCCTACCCCTTGGGACCTAAGGCTGAGGAGGGGCTCACATCCTCACCTGCAGATCCTGAAGGCCTGAAGCCACAAGGGTGTCGCTCTGGCTGTTTTCTCTAACAGTCTCCACGGTGAGATTCAGCCATTGTTTTCTTGCCCTCTCACCCCCTTCCTCCTCCCCTTTCACTGCAGTAATGGGAGGCTGTTCTCTTTCTTCTGCTTCAGGATTAGTGAGTGGTAGGCCCATTTTCCTTTGTAAGCTAGCCACCCTCCAAGGGGCAGAGGAAGGCTCTGTTAAAGTCACATTTTCTCTGCCCCAGAGAGCTGACAGCCTATTTGAGGAGAGAAAACTTATACTTTGAGAGGGTAAAGAATGATTCAGGTGACATAGTAAGTACACAATGGTGCATGAGAGGTCCAAATTCAGGCAATAGGAGAAATTATGAAGAGCTAGGGCTTTTGTCTTCAAAAGCCAAATGCAACTACCCTCTTTAGCTGAAGTCTTTTCTAAAACAGGCTGATTTGGGTTGCTGCTTCACTACTATTAGAGTCCCCATTCTGCCAAAGATGTCTAAGGATATTTTTGAAGTGTACTGGGGGCCCTGGCCCTGTACTAAGGTCAGTCTTGGAAAGCTGAAGCTTTCCTTGAAAGACCTTGCTGAACAATCAAGATCACCATTAGTTAATGGTCTCCAGGGAGAGGAGCCAAGTCTGCCCTCTTCTCTCCAGTATGAGATTGGAATACAGTCTAATTAAATAGCAGGAAGGGGCTGGTCCCTTGGAGATTGGGGGTGGCAGTGCCTGCATATAAACCTATAGCTTGATAGATCCATTTCTGAAATTAGAATTCAAGAAAAAAAGCTGTATTTAGTCTTTAACTCTTCCATGTGCTTCTTGTTTTGTTTTGTTCTTGCCACTCTCTACCTCACGGTATTACTGTCACCTGGGCCACCATGGTAACTCCTTTACAAAAATAAATTGAAACTAGTGGTTTCTAAGCCCAGTGTGACACACCAATGTCACTTGAGGGCTTTAAAAAAAGGTTCTCAAGCCCACTCCTGAAGATATGGACTCAGGAGTTTGCAGGTGTGGCCCAGGGATAAGCATTTGCAATAGAAATGCTGCATCCTGTTGTTCCTCAGATTGATTTTGGGAGGCACTGACCTACACCACATTTCCCAAGGTAAACCAGCTCATATAATGCAAGATTTTAAAGTATGGTAGGGGGAAAAAAGAAAATGTGGGGACAAAACAGACAGCAAAGAGAGATTAAGGCAATGGGTGGATCACATATAAAAAGCTTCTCTCCCCACCTAAGTTTATTATGCAGAGTAGGATGGCTGCACTCGCTACTGTCACCTGGCTGACTGTCACCTGGCTGACGGCCTCTAAAAGTAATGAAATCTACAGCACTGCAGTGCTAGTATGGCCAGTTCTTTCTCTTACTCCCAGCCCACATCCTTCTAGCCCTGAGGAGGGTGCTTAGCACCTGTTTTATCTACTCCAGGAGAGACCCCAGCTGGAGCTGGGAATGCCTCTGTCTCATTCCCTCAGGCTAAGCCAGCAGCAGCTGCGTGGTTGGGGGAGGGGCACACTGCAGCGCTCTGCTCTGATTTCGAGCAGGAAGCCATCTTTGGCAGAGCTTGTGAAGGGCGAGGCAAGACAGCCTGGCGTGGAAACAAAGAACGCAAACAAAGAGACTAGACATTGAAGAGCAATGATCAGCAGTCAGCACAATTCCTTCCGAAAGGAGCAAAGTCGTGCTTTTTGTCTACTCTGATCCATAGAACAGACATGTGAAACGTGCATCATAAAAGTTCAAGGAAATCTCATCTATCTAGAACTCAGCTCCCCAGCAGCCTCTTATTCAGAAAGCACAGATGTGAAACAAAAATGATTTTTTAAAAGGACCTAATTAACTTGCTTGTGAGATAAAACATCTAAATCACACATTAGAATGTTGGCCCGTCTGATGCCCAGCCTGTTCATTCTTTCTTTACATGATTCTAATATACTTTGTTGTTTGGATTTCAAGTCTGCAGCCAGATAGAGAAGAAGGGGGACCACTGGAGTCAGGCATTTCAAGAAGGAGCAGCCGCAAATCAGTTCTTTCAGGACAAAGAAAACCAATGAATAGCAAACACTAATTGAAACACTGCTCTTTGGGGCCATTTAGGGTAGAAATAAACAGCCTGAAATATACCTCAGTTGACTTAAAAAAAAAAGACATCACAGAATTATAGAAAAATAATTGATCATTATCATAATCCATAGTTGCTGAAAAAGGTTGCATTATGTTTAATATCCTAATTAAGAATGGTATAAACCACTTCAGAAAGTTTTTTATTCAAAATTGTTATTTAAAAAAACACAAAAACCTAGTGCTTTTAAGAGATATGTTTCTGACTAGCCAATATTAAGGTTTTATTATACATTGCTTTCCTTAGTTATCCAAGGGATTGCAGGGAGGGCTCATGATTAATTTGTCCATATGATTAAAAGGGTAGAGAATCACATTGTATGATATTAACAATAATAAAAATCACTAACATTTATTGAGCAGTTCCTAGTGGCAAGTGCTGTTCTAATGCCTATTATCTAACTTAATAGAAAATGGAAACATGTAATAATGTGAGGTACATTAAATTGGAATCCCAACTTGAGGATCTCCGAACACCTCAGTAAAGAATAAACACTGTAATTTTCCACATGCAGAAATGGAAGTATTGAAGAAACTAAAATATAGAAAACTTACTGACGTATGTTAGATACTGTGACAGGGCAAGAAATGAAACACAAAAATTCTGGTAAAATCCTCCTCTTTTCTGCATATATTTCTCCTCTTCTGCATAACGAGAAAACTTCCTCCTCTTTCTCCTTTTACCTTCACCTGAGACTCTTTTTCCCCTTACCACAGCAATATCAATTCTCTTGCCCCTGATGCATCACTAGCAGACTTGCTTGTAGGTTAGTTTAACCTCAAATAGCAACCATCAAGTAAAATTTCTTGGTAAAAAGACTTTTAAGTCATCATGATCTCTTAACACACTTTGGAATATTTCCATCATTGTCCAGTGTAATATGTATTTTCCCCACTGCTTATGATTCCTTGCTCTATATACCCATCAGTTAATTGAGTCTCTCCTTTGCAGTATTCCTGTCAATATTTATAGAACAGGTAGGTGATACGAATTTTAATTATTTCTGCAGAGTCTCTTGACTTGGAAGTTTGCACTCCCTGAAGTATTTTTCCTGCCTTTCACCATGGCTTTATTATCCCCACACAAGGGGAGTCTCAAGGGGTAACTTGCCTTCTTGAGGTTTCTGATATGTTTATCTGCATCACTGTTTCATAAAAATTACTGTTGGTCACTATGCTCTCCATGTTGACAAAGTTGCAGCTGAATTAAATGGGTTATTTACTCACACCTTTTCAGGTCATAAGAAAAGAAGTCCTTATGCAGCATCATTCATTCAACAATTATTCATTGAGCATCTACGGTGTGCCTTGCGCTCTGGCTTCCAGGAGTGAACTAGGCAGAAAGGGTCCCTGTTTCCATGTAAATTACATTCTAGAGCAGCAGTTCTCTAACAGGAGCGATTTGCCCCCAGGGGACATTTGGCAGTGTCTGGAGACGTGTTTTTTTTTGGTTGTCACAACTGGGAGGAGGGTGTATTCTACTGGCATCTAGTGGGCAGAGGTAAGGGATGCTGTTAAACATCCTTAAAAGTCACAGGACAGCCCCTATAATGAAGCATTCTTCAGCCCCAAATGTCAATAGTGCCAAGCTTGAAAAACCATGTTACCGAAGAAGGTGACAAAATAAACTAGTAAACGAAGAAGAAAAAATTCCAGATAATGATGAGTTAAGAGCAGAGTGGACTCTTTCAAGTGGGTGTTTTTTTCTAATTTGTCCTCCCACTGGAGGTACCTTTTTCTAATCTGCACAACGTTTCTTCATAGACTGGCAGCTGCCCTAGCTTGAGGTAAAATAATGTGCAAGATCTGTGTGGAGAGAGTACTTAAATTGGGTTTCAAGAAGACTTGTCTGAGTAGAGGACATTTGAACTGAGTCTTGTATGACTTGGAGTTGGTTCGGCCACGTCAAGCCCCACTCCCGAGCATTCCAAACAGGAAATAGCTAGCCTAAGGGGCCTGGGGACAGCAACTTGCTAAGTTTAAGAAGCAAAAGAAGGCCAGGGTAGCTGAAACACACTGAGCAAGGGGGAAAGTATAGGCTATGTGGAGGAGTTTGGACTTTATTCCAAAGGCCTTGGAGGATTTTAAGCAGGTGAACAATAGGATCTGCTGAGTTTTTAAAAGATCCTTCTGACTGTTCCAGAATCACAAATGTAAAGCTGCTTTTCTTCTGTGCCTGGGTTTGCACCTGAAAGAATTTGGAGCAAAACTGTTACATGAATCTAGTTTCTTTTTTAAATATAATTTCATTTTCTGCCATGTGGATAAAAAAAAAATTCCACGGAGTATTTCTGCTTCCTCCTTATCTGTCGCATAAAATGCTTTCAATAAGGTGATTCAGTAGCAGATTTCCAGGAAACCGTGAAAAATGAACAGAGGCAGAGAAGACGCACTGTCTTCTGGGTGCTTTCCACAGTTGGAATTTTCTGAACCTGAGCTCCTAACTGGAGGCTTTGGGTTTTGGAAAGGACATGCAACAAGGGAGTTATTTAGCAGCAATACAAAAAGCAAGGGAGGGACGGTAAGTAAGTTAAAAAAAAAAAATCTCCCTGGTGTTCAGTTGAGAACCACGTGCCCTGTGGTAGAAGTTCCCAGCCCTCGCCATACATCCAAATCTCCTGGGGACCTTTATGAAAAAATGCAGATGCCGGGACCCCAACCCAGAACAAATGAATCAGAATTGGGGATAGGGGTAGGCCTGGGTGTTATAATGTGCAGTCAGGGTTGAGAATCCTTGCCTTGTGGAAATCACAGTGAACTCCAGCTGGTTTAGTCTAAATATGTTGTATGTGTCACTTTTCAGGATAGCATTGGGCAACTAGAGAATGATTTGAGGAACACCAAGAGTGAGATGGCACGCCACCTTCGGGAATACCAAGACTTGCTCAATGTTAAAATGGCTCTTGACATTGAGATAGCAGCTTACAGGTACTTCAAAGGGGATGTTCACCCAAGCAGATGCAGTCACCTGAGGCAACACTTACCCATATTAGTGGTTTTAGTCTCTCTGATTTCTGATGGGGGAGGGGGGATGAGGAGACATCACTGGCCCGTTCCAGGTGAGCCAACCTCTTTATCCCTCAACTTTATTATATCCCAGCTTCACCTTGAGAGGCCTGGAGTAGTCTACTTATGTCTGCTAGGATCTATGGGGATAACGTAACTACACAGAGGTTGAAATAAACCCATCAGACTCTAACTTTAAAAATAGAGTTCATAGAAACTCCTAATAGGTGAGGTATCGCCCTGATTCCTATTCAAGGCAATGTTCAAGTGAACATTGAAACTTTTTAAAGTTTCCTTTAAAAAAAAAAAGGTAATAACAGCAGCTACTATTTTTTTACTTGACTTCCATGAGCCAGGCACTCTATTAGACCCTGCACATAAATGATCAGGTCATATTATGCCCATTTTGCAGATAAGGAAACTTGAACCACAGACTGTGTAAGTTGCTTATACTCACAGTGCTGGTACATGGAAAAGCTCAGATGCAACCCCAGATCTGTCTGAGCTTTTTCTTTTTCTTTTTTTCTTTACAGTGTGTATGCTACATCAAAACAAAGCTCTAAAAATATTTGATAGTGTCTTGAATTTCTTATTTTAAAGAAAGGATGATAAAAACTATTAGTTACGAGAAACAAGGTATTGGGGCTACCCTTTTATGATACCTTTTAGGCCAGGCTGGGAAGAAGTCTGGGATCTGAAACAGGTTCAGTCACTGGCCTTTGATATTGCTGGTTCCATTTCCTTTGCGCTCCTGTACACTGGAAAAGTATAGACCTCAAATTCAGGCTGAATTAGGCAATTCTTTCCTTCTCTGTGGACTTCTCACTTACTTATCCCTATTGCACTGATGGTGTTAATTAGCAACATTGCTTTTCCCCCAAAGCTTTGTAGACTCTTTAAGTACCAAAAATGGGTGTGATGAGGCCGAATGGAATTGTAGGTTTTTCCTTTGTTAATATATTTGTGAATAGAGTAGGTTTCCGTTGAACGTGCATAAACACAGATGGTGCTAAAGATGTGTGTGTGTGTGTGTGTGTGTGTGTGTGTGTG